GCGGCCTATGGAGACTGCAACGCTGGGTGTCGAAGATGTTGCTAAGACTTGCAAGCGCGCATGTTCAAAACTGTATTACATAGTTTTTTTTTGTCATTTATCAGTTCTGAATGAATCTTGAAAATTTTAAGACGAACATGTATTAACCATGCTCATACAAATTTGAAACCCTTTTTCGTCTGTAATCTACGCTCAGGGAGTCCTCAAGATCTCTGAAGAACACAGAAAGCATGAAACCGTAATCTATATGACAATTATTGGACCACCCGCGGCGATCAAGGGTGTTGATGCGTCAATGAGGGCTCCTGTGCTGACCCGGGGCCAACTGCGCAGGTCAGAAGGTCTCGCGTGTCAGGGAGGGGAACAAGGTGATGTGATATACCCCTCCAACCGTCTTCGGGTCGACCAGGAGATCCCGCCCCGTGTCACTAGAATGACAGCCAGAAGACGCTTTGCGATGAAACGGAGTGGCCTTTCAGCCCTTGACCGGAACCGGCAATGCGCCCCTGGTGTTCTACTCAAGGGGCTCCTTTCCCGGAAGGAAATAAGGGGTCTCATTATTGTTGAGTAGAGTGGGGGTCTCATTACCGTTGAAGAGAGCGGGTCAAAATGATTTTTTTAACGAACAAGGCCATCCCATGTTTACCTGCGAACGTTCATTTTTCAGAATGGATTAGTGAAAAAAATGCATCAAAAGGTTTGAACGAGCCTGCCCACCTCTTGGAGAGCAAGGACAGCGATGGTCTGCGTTGCAGCTTCCGTGAAACCGTAGGGCGTCGGCCACTGCAAGTGCCACCAGACGGCGGGCACCACGTTACTCTGTCCTCTGGACAGATTAATAGTTACATAAACGCGAAAAATAGAGAATCTACCTTTACTCTTCTAGTTTCACCATTAGATTCCAGCACCACTTCGCGGTGCTTCCAGGGCCAATCCGTTCTTATTTTCAGTCTAAAAATCGCACACGTGAGATATGCACCCAGACTGTCTTGTAGGTGTAAGATTTGACGTCCTGAAGCGTTTGAAGGTACTTTTTCAGAAGCGTCATCATATTCGTCCACCCGTTTGCCACAGCCCATTATTAGCTGCTAGGCTGTGGCAAACGGGTGGACGAAGACTGCGCTGCGCGGCCTACGGAGACTGCAACGCCTTGCGTCCAGGCTCTTTAAAGCTAAAATATGTGAGTTCGCATGCTCAAAATTATGTGACATAACTTAAGTGTTTAACTTTTACTAACTTTTAGCTTTAAACTAACTTTTAAAACTTTTAGTGTTTTTAGTGCTAACTTTTGGATCCATTGAGGTGTTTAAAGGTAATCATTTCAGAACCGTTACCATTTTCGTCCACCGTGGGCCACGGCGAAAAGTTAACCACTGGGATAGCGTCCCGCGGACTGTGGAGACAGAATGGTGTCGATATTTTTTTAACGGAGTATTATATATTTTATATAATATATGAGTTATAACATAATTATACGTGATATATAATAATTGCATATATCATATGCAATAATTTATCACCTCACGCCTGATGTCGATATTTTTGTTGCTAAGATTTGCTACCACGCATGCTAAAAACCATGTATATATATATATATATATATATATATATATATATATATATTGTGTCACTAATTGATTCTGACTGAATGTTTAACATTTCCAAACAAACGTGGCTTCGCGATGTTGATATACATTCCTGACCACTCGATCTACAATCCAAATTTTCACCCTCAAATTTCGATCAAACATATCAATCTACAACCTATCTTCGCGATGTCCTCAACGTCTGTAGAGCGCAGATAAAACATTATTAAAAAGCTTCTGAATTCTAGCGGTTTAGAAAGAGTTCACTCACCCATTGCAAACTAAGGACACCGGTGGTTTATTCCATGCGGTAGCTAAACGCCTGATTTCTGCTGGTTATTGGCCTTAAAAATGTAAACAGAATTGATTTCACGGCAACTTCTGGTTTCTGTTCTGGTAACAACGTAAAAATAACAATGTAGCGAAGAAAATCGTATCCCTTGTTAACAAGTAGACCATATCCGGTGATTTTTGGGGGAGGGGATCACCATAAGAGGGGTTTTTGTCAACCCTGTGTTCCTCATAGCAAGGCTCTGGTTACCTCCTGCGTACACACAAAAGCAAGTCAAGTCATGTATGTTGAAAAGCGGGCATTGAAATATCCGTTGGGCCAATTCATACCTCAAGTAGGCAGCTTCCCGGAGCATTTTTCTGGAGTGGCGTGGTATAAGAGAACATGATCCGAAAAAGGTACTGTTGCAGGTGTCCAACGCATGTTTTACATCCCAATTAGTAGCAGTGATGATCCAGAAATGTGCAACAAAGCAGCCAAACCGTCAGTCCGCGGTCAGTCATTCGGAGACAGCCGGGCCAGGACAGTGGTGGTCGACGGCGGACGGGAGCAGGACTCAGACAAGGAATATATGACAAAAGGTCTTTCATTCTGTGGCTTGTTTTCCAAAAGAGAATCTCCATGTGGCTTTTGTCACATGGTTTTTGGCAGTTTTAAGCTCCGGAATTTGTTTCCGCCTAAAATGTCGCGACAAGTCTTATCTCTTGAAAAGCAGCCAACAAAATGAAGGTGCATGCAAAATCTGTTGCATTGCGAGCCATGGATTCACTTTAAAAATTCTAACCAGCCTATGCTCGGGCCATATTTTGGCATCTACCCTGTGGAGACAGATACTCCCTCAATGACCCAAAATGCCTACCCGCTCGTGGAATTTCGCCTCCCCAGGAAAGACAACGTTGACATCGACGAATAATCTTGGGAAGCTGGATAGCCCTATTTGCCGAATGACATAGATGAGTCGGGCAGGCAAGAGCGCGCACCAGTGAGAAACAGCTCTAGATGTATATTTAGAATAGCAGTCGTTACATTTCAACAAAGAGCGATAACCTCCACGTTTACCCTCTCCCCTCCGCCAATCGGGCTTGTTTTCCAAAAAATCCTAAACTATGCCCTCAGCTTAGCCCCCCCCACACTTTTGAAACGTTCCTACGCCTATAGCACCACCCATCTTCCTCAAGATGCGTCATTATTCTCGGTTGTTCATTGGCCATCACTTAGCGTTACAGCCGCAGCGCCAACGCCGCGCAGCTTATGGAGAGTGCAACGCCGGGTATCGAGGCTGTTTTTGCTATAACTTGTGAGCGCACGTGTTCAAACCATGTCACATAGCTTTTATCAGAAATCAATCCCGACTGAATCTTGAACATTTTAAGACGTACATGGATAAGCCACGCTAATACAAATTTGGGACCCCATTTCATCTACAATCTACGTTCAAGAGTTCTCAATATCTCTAAAGAACACACACACACACACACACACACACACACACACACACACACACACACACACACACACACACACACACACACACACACACACACACACACACACACACACACACACACACACACACACACACACACACACACACACACACACACACACACACACACACACACACACACACACACACACACACACACACACACACACACACACACACACACACACACACACACACACACACACACACACACACACACACACACACACAAATAGAACCGGAGTCTTCGTGACAATCATTGGACCACCTGCGGCCATCAGGGATGTTGTTGCGTCGGTGAGGGATTCTGTACTATTATTGTTAAAAAGAGCGGGCTGAAATGAGTACAAAAAAAACGGACAAGGCCTTCCCGTGTTTGCCTTCAAAGCTCATTTTTTCAGAATAGATTAGTGAAACAAATTACATCAATATGTTTGAGCATACCCACCCGGAACCTCGACCGCAAGGACAGCGATGACCCGGGTCGCAGCTTCTGTAAAACCGAACGGCGTCGGCCACTGCAAATGTCAGCAGAGGGCGGCCGCCGCGGTAATATGCCTTCTGGACGGAATAATAGTTCCAGAAACAAGGAAAATAGAGATTCTACGTTTACTCCTCCAATTTCTCCACCAGATTCCAATATCACTTTGTGGTGTTTTAAGGGCCAATCCGTTCTTATCACGAGTCTTAAAACCGCGCACCGGAAATATGCGCCCAGACTGCCTTTTACATGTAAGATCTCATGTCCTGGAGCGTTCAAAGATACTTCTTTCAGAGGAGTCATTTTCGGGCACCTGTTGTTCACGGGTTATAATTGGCTGGCCGGGCCTCTGGGCGTAGACCTATTGCTCCCAGATATCTTCTTTCGTGAGGTTGATTATTGGTGAGTACAGCCACTATGCCTGAGAAGGTATTCACACTATGCATTACACAGCGTCATGTGCGAGTACGTAACTTCAAAAGCCATGCAGGAACTTCATCTTAATTGAATCAGTCATGATGTGTGTTGCTTTTAAGCAAGCTGGGCTTTGGAAATCTCGTGATCGCCGTTTGGTGTCGGTGGGAAATCCATCCGGTGAGCATGACAATATCATGACAATGAGGAGCTAGTACTCCTGGTTACGCGGGCGGCAAAAAGTCGAGTTGAAGGAAATACCGCCGAGCTGAAAAATTCCCCGCGTAACACGTCCCTCGTCTGTGCACCTCAGGCATACTCCGGAAACATCGAACCAACCACCACGCTTCACAGCTCGTTCATCACAAGGTATCCGGCCAAGCTCAGCCGGCCGTCCAGATCCGTGATCCGGGACGGTTTAACCTCCAGGCTGGCCTGGCTCGGGGGGCCGTTAGGACCTGCGGGTGGATGATACATCGGCATCGGCACAGGCGCGGGAACAGTAAGCCTGTCCATGACCTGACCTGAACAAGACAACATTTGACGGCAACTTCGGCATCAATGCAAAAACAAATAGTTATTTACTCCAGAGTTTGCATGCAATAGCCGAAGTAGTTCAAACCAACAGACGAGTAATGATTTCGTTCGGGAGATTACAAAACGCGCGCAACAACATGCAGCGCCAGCTGAGAAGACTACAGTGACGTCACGCTATCGTTGAGCGGATAGAGCGCTGAAACCGCCGCATGCTCCCCTCTATAACCTTGAGTTGTTTGCTCGACCTGTTTTTTGCCTCGGGGTGTGCGCGCGGGATGCGGGTGAGGTTCGATTTGTTTTTTGTTTGTGTTGAGTTGCTGGACCGTTTGTTTTAGTGGTTTTGGCAGTAAGTTTTACTGTGTGGCACATGGTGTGGAATGGTGTATATGCCTAGTATGCCACGGCTTTGACGACATTTGTATTCTTCACGCAAGCGTAAGATCGGTGGCTTCCAAATTATGATCATATAGCTGTATTGGTTGTGATTTTTGGTTTATCACAATACCAACATTGTGTATAATGTTTATAGGACAGTGGTGAAAAGGATATGGAGTAACGCAGTCAATACAAAATATTTGTGCCCTCAGCCCTTTCCTCAACAAAACAAAACAACACAACTTTGCATTGAATCATCATTGTAGATCATAATGCCTAATGGCTGATGCTTCAGCTTACAGTACATTCTGGTCTATCTGAGTTTCGTTTTAGAGGACTGAACAGCCTCAAATTAGGGATGTAACCAGTGTGGGGCATCATGCATGAGGTCAGTCTAATGAAAATCAAGCCTAGATTTAACCTGCTCATCTGAGGTTGATAGCAATGCCAATGGAGGACAGCCACTTACATTTGCTACCAGGTTGGCTGAAAAAGTTGCAGCAGATGAGAGCCCTACCTGTATGGAACTGCTCACCAACAGGGCCATGTCTCTGTGAAACAGTTAAAACACTGCTACCATCTTGTCTGTGGCAAAGGTGGCTTAGAAGTGAGGGTTTCTGAAAGAATAACTTGTCAGAAAAATTGTTGAAGGAAAAAATGGCACCATCTGTAAATCATTTTGTGCATTCAGGGCTGTAAATGAGGTTTAACAAATCAAGAGAGGTTTTCACAACCAACAGCAAAATGCTGTGGTTGCAGGTCATCCTAAAAAATTTCAAGATATTTTAAAGTTTCAAGAAGGATTCTGTTGGTCTTCTCTTTGAACATGCAGTAGGTTTTCTTTTGTGCTGCATCTATAGATCATTTATAGGCCAAACAACCAGAATATTTATGGAACATATGGATTAATGCTGCACATGCAGGTAAAAGGGGACCCTGGTGTATCCTGCCTTATGTCTAGCTTTGCCTAGCATATCCTGGCATGCTCACAGGGAGGGCAATTGTCAGGAATGTGTAATGTAAGTTATCAATCCTTGAACTGGACTGCAGCTAATGGGAGCATGCTGGGTGGCAGGGACTGCAATTTTTGGAAGTGTTCAGGCTGCAATAGCTCTCAGCATTATCATAAATGCTTAAGCATTCATTTAATGAAACACTTCACAGGTGTTTTCATTAACAATCTTCCAGACACTTTGTTGTCTTTGGCATGTTGTTGTCCACAGTTGTTGGGTACCACTGCTGAGTTGATTCAGATGAAAATGTTGGCAAAAAGCAGGACTTGATAGCTTTTACATGCCTCAAATATATCTCAAGTTATTTGCTTAACTGTTGCTATTTGTTAGTTGTTACCATGCCAAAAAAACAGAACAGAATTGATTGTAATCAATTAGCAAACTCTGGTTGTGTCAGTTGATCCATTTTGTATTGGGTGGTAGAACTCTTTGGATTTGTGTTGACTGATTTTGTGGGTAAGGTGCAAATGCAGTGTATTATGGGCCCAGCTGTTGTTCTCGGACACCTGCCAATAGAACGTACTTTGAACATCACACATGTGCTGTAAGGTTATCTCTTTCTTCGTGGCACTTCTTGCCAGGTTTGCTCTGCCATGAATGATGCTCCCAGACCCCAGCCATCACATGGCAAGTGGGGCGAGGTGGCATTAAGTGAACTGAGCCACGGTTCTTCTAAACACAACCACCCACACAAATGGTCTGGTCCGGTCTGCCAGATATGTGAAGGCTGGCGCAGCGCGCAAACCGACGACATGAGAGCCTCACTGAGGAGTCAGTCAGTTCCATGTGCTGTGACTCAAAGGGCAAAACCTCCTGCACTGACATGAAATGAAGCACAGTCTAGTTACTAGACATCTGTCTTTGTACTCTCAGCTGTCGCCAGCTTTGTACTGTCAGCGAACATATTGCTCATTGCCGGCGGACGTGGTTTCAGGTGCTGAATCAAGATGGGTCTCCAGGTGAAGAAAAGTTACTGTTTAGGGATTGGTAGCATACTGGTTGTATTTATCATATGGTATCGGAAAAGTGCAAATCCGCTCATTGGTAAGTTAAAATTTGGTTTGTAACCCTTGTGGACGCCTGTTAAGAGGCTATTAATGTTGTGTTATGTGGTCGTGTGAATATTACTAATTGGGCTGGAGTGCACGCATATGCGGGAAGGAGCGTTAAAATGGCATGAAATATACAGAAGACGGTGAAACCTGAGATGGGTCGAGCTATTTGGCTCGATCTATGTCTCTTAACGCCAACAGTTCATTGCAACCATGGAACAAATGCGAACCATATTGTCTTCCAATGTGCCGTTAACATAAGATTGTTGTGTGTCAGTAGTTCAACGCGTCCTTAGCCATTTCCATAGCTTCTTCGCGCCTTCGAGGCGCGCTGACCGGTCGCCCATCACAATGTATTGTCAGATGGCATCGAGGAGCTTATGGTCGGCTCGCCGGTCGCTGTGTGCTTGATGTTTACCGCTGCTGGCTTCCTGCCGTCTCGCGATGTTTGATGGCCTTGACCACACGAAGAACTTGTGACGCCACCGAGGACCTGCACCCCTCCGATGTTCGCATTTCAGTCATGGTGTCGGCAGCGATGATCCGTGGTATTCTTGGAAACGTCTTTGCAAGCTTTTGTGGAAAAGTAATCGGACGCAAGGGCTTAATCTATTCAAATCATTTTCATTTCCAAGCTTGTCGTAGGCACGGAGCCAGTATTTTGCCAAAGTTTGTCAGAGGGTACCGGCATCCCAAGAGCGGAAAGATGTTTTGGAATCATTGCTTGCATTGGTCTCGCAGAGGTCCCGGAAACAAGCGACCAACCCATAGCACGTAGAACAGTGATTAATTTTTCAATTTTTCTGATTTTCTCACAGATTGAAGAATACGCCTCGATAAATGAGACAGCAATAGCCGTTTTAACCGTCCACGTATTCCCGCCGTGGATTCGCACCCCGTTTGGGCCGCATCGCTGGCCTGGCGGTCTCTTGTACCAACGTTGTCGGGAGGGACGCCGAACGTGGAGACGCTCTCAGCCAGGGCTGCGAAGAGCTGTTATCAACATGAAGTCAGCAGAACCGATACGCTCGTCTTGTACTAAAGTGGTGGGGAAGGACGTCAAACGTGGAAATGCGCCCAGCCAGGACGACGAAGACCTGTTATCAACATGGAGTCAGCGGAGCCGATAGGCTCGTCATTAAATCCGTTTGAAATTATTGTGTCGATGTTATTTGCAAGGCGTCACAGCGCCCTGGTACCCTGTAAAAGGAATTTTCCACACCTTAAAATAACATCCTATGTGATGTTTGCTTGACGCAAACATCATATAGGATTTAATAAGCTCATTTATAACTGTTTGTACGCTGTGAAGTGGAAAAGACTGCTCCAGATAATACAATTTCTCGGTTTAGCAAATATGCTCCTAAACACGTCGTTGTTTGATGACGTCATCGCATCTTGCACAGCATTAACTGATGGCCAATTGATCGCCGTTATGTCTGGAAATTGTGCTCACGAACGCCAGATATCAACGGCTCGACAGTTATGTTTTTATGGGCTTGATCGACGCATGACTAATGGAATGACAGAAACTGAATGCCGTTATTACGGCGTCATGGATGCCAGGATGACGTCGAAATAGTCTCCTTGAAATAGTCCTCCTATCTTCGAGGACGTGTAGCTCAGAAACTAGACGGGTTTAGATCTTGCAAAGGACTGGGTTGTGAACTGCACCGAATGGTGTACAAGATGTCTGTTTCAGTTAACAAATGTCAAACACATCCTGTTGTAATTATTTTAAAGTCGCGAGTTTTTGGGGGTGTTTTTTCCCTTTACTATTTGGTTTTGCGCGTAAGCTGCAAGCAAATGGCACCAGCGACTTGGAGCGTTCTGTTCCCAAACAGAGCACCAGACTTAGAGAACACCTTGTGTGCCATCATGGTGGACCAGGCCATATCAGGTCATGTAAAATGAGGCCATAAACACTATCGTGAACACTGAGTTCGGCGCCGTATTGGTTTTTTGGATAGTTAATGGCATATGGTGACTTTTTTTGGTGGGGGAGTGTGGAAATTTCCGAAGTCGGTAGGTATTTAATGATATATGGTGACTTCTGGGGATGGCAGGGCGGGAAGTTCCGAAGTCCACACGTCGATAGAGGTCAAACCAGGCCACTCTGCCATCGCGCCATATGACATGATCACTCTGATGGTCTGTGATCTATAATCATATGACATATGCCGCCATTAGCCATATGACACTCTGAAACAAAGTCACCATGGGTCATTGATATTCTGTGCAATCTTCACAATGTAGCATCGAAATGTGACGACGAGAATGTTCTCGCATACCTTGATGACTCTGAGAATCATGTACGAAGTATTAGAAACGCGCGTTTGCGTGACTTAGTTTGCCTGGTCCACGTAGGCTAACTTTGTCACGCTAGGTGTTCAAGGTGGGATTCTTATTAAACAGGTGCGCTGTGTGTTCTATCGCCAGGTCTTGTGCGCTGTGTATAGTATCGACAGGTATTCTGCGCTATGTGTTCTATCGACAGGTCTCCTGTGCTGTGTATGCTATCGACAGGTCTCCTGCGCTGTGTATGCTATCGACAGGTCTCCTGCGCTGTGTATGCTATCGACAGGTCTTCTGCGCTGTGCATGCTATCGATATGTCTTCTGCGTCACGTCCTGGTTCGGGACGCAAGTGCACCGATGGCTTAGTACTTCAGTCCATGGCCACCGTTATATTCTCTAATACGTACACAATCTGTTAACAAAACATGAGTAACAAGTATTCGGGCGCCGGCGCAGAAAACCGCGATATACTTCTGGCCGAGAAGAACATTTCCGATAGCAATCAGAACGCCACCTGACGGAAATTGTTGTTAATGGCGTGGTGTTTAGAAGCTATGAGTTATGGTCATCGATTCGCGGCAACCGGCCTTGCAAAGCGAAACGAAATTTATCTATCTAGGTTCGCGCATTTGCAGAGATATTCATGCATCGCCGTCGAAGGCATGCATTGTCTCCAAGGATGCGAAGATAATTTTCTCTGGGTAGCACCGTGGCACACTTTTGATACTTGACTGTAACATTGTTATGTTCCCTTCAAGTTTTGTATATCCCACCAACCGCTTGTCTTTGGGTAGCTCGTGCCCCCCCCCCCCCCCTCCTCTGCGTTTGCGCATGTGTTGTATCTATTTCCCTCCACTTCTCAAGTTCTTTCAGTCCGGAATGGTGAAATTTATATGAGGCTTCAGCGCATTAAAGCAGGCTTGTTTCAATAATAGTGCACACCGTAGCTCGTTGGTTTTTGTATTGCGATACCTGACGTCAGGTTATTTCATATATATATATATATATATATATATATATATATATATATATATATATATATATATAATTCATGCCGTCGAGGATCTCAAGACTTTGAAATCCAGTTTAACCTCGAGATCACCCTGTATGACAATGCAAGTTGTTAAACAGATTTGTGCTGTCAGTGTTTTATTTATGCGCACAGGAAGTTGGTTTGTCGTGCTGACTGAAAGATTGTTGTTTTTGACCATTTATGCGTCCAGCAATTGTGTTTGTGCCGCATTCTTTAGCGCATATTGTGGTGCAAATTCGAATTGCTGTGGTTTCTGTCATCTGTGGTTTGTTCTAACATGTTTCTTCTCATTCCCTTTGTCTCTTCAAGGGCTAGATCCTACGAACCCAGAGCTGATCAAAACGGTGCGGGACGAGTTCCTTCGCGCGCCGTCCGGCCTGCCGTATGCTCTGAGCCAGCCGGACGTGGTGGATGTGTCGGTAGGCCAGGCTCAGATGGTGCTGAAGATTCTCCAGAACAAGGTAATGTCCTGTTTGGCTATGTCGACTGCATAGACGGTACGGTTTTGCCCATGCCTGTCAACCTTGCTTATTGCACCATCGAACGGGTGTGGTGTGTCGCACATGTCCTTGTGGGCAAGTCACGTGATTTAAACAGGATGCTTTGCGCTGAAGCTGCTTAAATGTACAGAGCCATGGGATAATGCATGCTTCCTTTTCGTGCGTTTTCAATGTGGCAGGGGTGGCGCTTCGTAACATCAGTTCGGGGGGTTCAGACTGCGGTCGATCAACCCAGGGTAGCCCGAGGTCGGTCTACCAGGGGGAGTCTGAGGACAATGTACCAAGGGAGGCCTGGGGTCAATCTACCCAGGGTAGCCCGAGGTCGGTCTACCAGGGGGAGTCTGAGGACAATGTACCAAGGGAGGCCTGGGGTCGATCTACCCAGGGTAGCCCGAGGTCGGTCTACCAGGGGGAGTCTGAGGACAATGTACCAAGGGAGGCCTGGGGTCGATCTACCCAGGGTAGCCCGAGGTCGATCTACCCAGGGTAGCCCGAGGTCGGTCTACCAGGGGGGGTCTGAGGACAATGTACCAAGGGAGGCCTGGGGTCGATCTACCCAGGGTAGCCCGAGGTCGGTCTACCAGGGGGAGTCTGAGGACAATGTACCAAGGGAGGCCTGGGGTCGATCTACCCAGGGTAGCCCGAGGTCGGTCTACCAGGGGGGGGGGGGTCTGAGGACAATGTACCAAGGGAGGCCTGGGGTCGATCTACCCAGGGTAGCCCGAGGTCGGTCTACCAGGGGGGGGGGGGGGGGTCTGAGGACAATGTACCAAGGGAGGCCTGGGGTCGATCTACCCAGGATTGCCTGAGATCGATCTACCCAGCATAGCCTGAGGTCGATCGACCCAGGGTAGCTTGAGGTCGATCTACCCAGCACAGCCTGTTGTATTGGTTTTTACACAGACAAATTCACGTTTCAGGTACCTGATATTTTGCCGCGTTCAGGAACCTGAAACACTTATATAATATTTTTTCTCTGGCATTTTTTATTGTTTTGTAACTCTTAAGGGGCGGGTAGTTGGAGACAGTCCTTGTACGTGTTATTGCAGGCATCCACATTGGCTTAGTTTCTCGTGGGCTGTCTGGGGAAATGCGTGGTGAGACTCTTGTAAGATGGGAGAGGCTAATGCAGCTTGGGGCCTCACTCCTCTCCCCCTGGACACGACCTCGGGCCCCTGTCGCGTGGTGCGTTGTCGGTTGCTGGCGTCGTTCGGCTTACGCTGCGACCGGTGTCTGCCGGCTGGCGGCGGCTCGGCCCGCCCTAGTGCGCGGCCGCACTGAGCTTGTACGCGCCGTCAGACGGGCGGCACGTTCGTGGAGTGCGGCGCGCTAGACGGCGAGACTCGCTCCAACACGCTGTATATGGAGCGCTGGCTGGGCTGGCGCGGCCTTCTGGTGGAGCCCGACCCGGACAGCTTCCGGATGCTCTTGCAGAAGCACAGACGCGCCTGGGCCATTCAAGCGTGTCTCTCCGGATCGAAAGTGTCGCAGGTATTACCGGCGAAGGCTGTGCCGTGCAAAGGTAGAGCCGTGTAAGTACTTTTTCCCGATTTTTTACTTTTAATAACCGAAGTGATGAAGCATCTGATGGTTCCCGGTTTTGTGCAGCTTAACACTTGTATATGCAGTTATTTTGAAAAAAAGATATTCGGAAAGGCATGCATCACAAATTTGATGGCATGCAAAGGTAAAAGCATGCATGTCTCAAAGTCATGCGTCAACAGCCCGGATAACAAGACATACGTGCTTTTGCCCGTGCATAGCGCGACAGTGCCGACATATGTGTATTTGACGGGGACTACCGGCGCGTGAGTGTTTCAAGACATCGTCGCCTCACCGGAGCATCTGACGGGTCCAGAGACCGTCGCATCACCGGAGCATCTGACGGGTCCAGAGACCGTCGCATCACCAGAACAGCTGACGGGTACAGGGATCGTCGCATCACCGGAGCAGCTGACGGGTACAGAGACCGTCGCATCACCGGAGCATCTGACGGGTCCAGAGACCGTCGCATCACCGGAGCAGCTGACGGCTCCAGAGATCGTCGCGTCACCGGAGCATCTGACGGGTCCAGAGACCGTCGCATCACCAGAACAGCTGACGGGTACGGGGATCGTCGCATCACCGGGGCATCTGACGGGTACAGAGACCGTCGCCTTGTTGGAGCAGCTGACGGGTCCAGAGACCGTCGCATCACCGGAGCAGCTGACGGCTCCAGAGACCGTCGCATCACCAGAACAGCTGACGGGTACGGGGATCGTCGCATCACCGGAGCAGCTGACGGGTACAGAGACCGTCGCATCACCGGAGCAGCTGACGGCTCCAGAGATCGTCGCGTCACCGGAGCATCTGACGGGTCCAGAGACCGTCGCATCACCAGAACAGCTGACGGGTACGGGGATCGTCGCATCACCGGGGCATCTGACGGGTACAGAGACCGTCGCCTTGTTGGAGCAGCTGACGGGTCCAGAGACTCGCATCACCGGAGCACTTGACGGGTACAGAGACCGTCGCATCACCGGAGCAGCTGACGGCTCCAGAGACCGTCGCATCACCGGAGCAGCTGACTGGTCCAGAGATCGTCGCGTCACCGGAGCATCTGACGGGTCCAGAGACCGTCGCACCACCGAAGCGGGAAGGCGGCTACTATCTGGGCAGACAACTGCGCCAGGCACCAGCATGCAGTATGGGTGCTTGCCAGCGCCACGCTGTACCGGGTTCATTCACCTCAGAACGCCATTGAGACAGTCACATTCAAGCTCAGCGAGCCAGGACACACTGTGGCGGAGGCTGATACCGTGCGCCTGGTCATCCCACGGACGTTATAGGCAACCGAGAGACAGGAAGGTTTAGGGGACTGCGTCATCGCAGTGGAAGCACCGGTACGCAGTGCATCCTGATGTCTCCCGGATACGAACTATGCCAAATAGGGAACACGCCAGCGAAGCGGAACTGACAAAACTCAGTCAAGATAGCCAACGGTCATGCTCGGCCCAGCTGCGGGTCATCCAGGTAGGACAGGGTTCTTACTCCGTGTTCACGAAGACCAACATCAAGCATGTCGAAGGCGGGGGTGGGGATATGGCCTAACATTGCAAGCGTGCCCAACCCAACACATCACCCCGAACTGGAACCGGACTTGGGAATGACTCGTGCGCATGAGAGGTTTTCGAATTATCGCGCCACATCGCTTCACCTATGCCTGCGCATACGAAACAGGTGAAGGAAGACGTGGCTGGTGTACATAAGCGCCAGCAGGGAGGAGGCGCCAAACTTAGTCGCCGCACGGTTACAGAAGGCGCGCAGCTCGATGAGGGGAACGCTGAGCTGACCGTGCCGCACATAACCGGCAATATCTGGTAGTCGAAGGCAGTTTGGTCTTTTGATCGTTTAGGTAGGCTGCGACGGCTTGCACTGTAAAGAGTCTGGCTTTGTGATTATTGTCCTGCCAGGTCCGGTGGCGCGCGCCGCGGGCACATAGGTCCCCATGCGATTCTACCTATTGGTGCTAATAGTGTGGTACTTAAGCTACGCGCCTGGGAAGCCGGAGGTATGGGGCCCAGTTCTCGCTGAGCTTGCGCCTCCTGCCAGGGTGAGAGGCCGGCCGCGTCATAAAGCCTTAGGTGCTGAGTGCGTCTGGAGCTCGAATGACAGGACCTATGTCCCCATCGTCATGTTTCTGGCGGCAACGTAAAAGTTTCACGAAATGTTTCGGGTGGATGTTTTTTGTTCCTATTCTTGAAATCTATTTCGAGCAGTATCGGAAGCTTTTAGGCCAAGAAATAACGAATTCAAACTGCCAGAGTAGTTTAGATTGCAGTGTTACGTATACGCGGCGTTGCAACGTTGATGACTAACGTTATGGTCAAACATCGATAGAGATGTTCCCGTTCTTCCAACGGATTCGAAGCGTCTTAACAAGAACACGTGTACTTGGTATAACGAGAAGTATTGGGCTTCTAGTTTTTCGGCATTATGAGTTCATAGCTCTTGGGCTGACAGATATCGACCTTCAGTATGCCAGAAGGCAATGTTTGGACATTTGCAGCCAAACGTTGCTGCTCAGTGCTTGAGTATCAACGATATCACCGATGTTTGCTCGATAAAATCGTTCAACTGGTACATCCAGGTATATTGAAGGAATATGGATAGGCTTGACTCCAAACAGCAAAAGACGAGGTATGCAAGATTGGTGTGAAACGCGCAGTAGGGTCTAAAAATCTGAATACGTGGCTTTGCACTTAAATATGGTCGCAAGAGACATCCGTGTGTGGCAATGCATTTTAAAGCACCAATGCATTAAACGGGTTCCATCAATCTGCAGCAAAAACACGGCAGTAGAAATACTAGGCATTGGCAAAGCTGAGCCGAGGCGCCAGCACAGATAGTATGGGACATTAGCCATCTGATATTTTTCAGATTGTTGCCTTCATAATAATTCCTACGGGGAATTATATTATTTTAAAAAGCTTTAACTGCGGTATTTTTGTTAATACAGAATAGCTATGCTCATGTGTAACGCAAAAAGTAATGAGTTGTCATCCACGGTGGCTCCGTGTTCACGTGTCATAATTGGTTGGGTTGGGATGTTGGCAGACTTTGTTGCCCAGTGACATCTAGATGTATTTTTACGTCACAAAGCGCGTTATGAGATGGTTGTTTGCAGGAAGTTAACCATTAAGTATAAGTTTTGTAAGCGATTTTTGAAGTTTTGGGGCAGCGTACGGAATTAAAAAAACTAGGATACAAAACGTTTTACCTGGAACGTGGCATTTCTCGAAAACATCCTTGTTCGTGGACACGATATTGTACATGAAAACAACTGCGTATTTGGCAATTTGAAGACACTTGAAAAGCATCCTCAAAAACATAAGGATGGATGATAATTGAGTACCACATCTATTTTATGTCCAATAAGACTGCCCTGCAACGGCACACGCTTCATCCGACATTGGGACCCAAAGTTCTCAATAAAATATCGAAGATATGCTTAAACTTTTGCAAGGCATTACTAGGTGTGTGGCTCCAAACCTTTCAAGACCGCCCCGCCTCCTTTGACAGCATTGATATATCTATCTCAGTACTGCCATCGCAAAGGTACAAGCCGAATGGTTGTTTTTAAGGACCTAAAATGCAGTGACGGGCCAGGCAAAGACCTGCGTACAAATGATCAATCAGCGCCTTTCAAAGTCAGAGGATGACAGTCAATCGTAGGGTTTGGCTCGCAACTTTGGAACAAAGGGCGCAATTTGACAAGCAGCGTTCTGCAGGGGCAGATCCAGGATTCCGTCAAGGGGGTACACGCGCACGCACGCACGCACGCACGCACGCACGCGCACACGCACGCACACGCACACGCACACGCACACGCACACGCACACGCACACGCACACGCACACACACACACACACACACACACACACACACACACACACACACACACACACACACACACACACACACACACACACACACACACACACACACACACACACACACACACACACACACACACACACACACACTTTGCACGTGCGCGTGCGCACGTACACACGCGCACATACAAACGCACGCGAGCAAAGGGGAATTACCGAGACCGGTGTGTGTGTGTGTGTGTGTGTGTGTGTGTGAATTAATGTCCCTGTGCGATCAAGGGTGTATGGGCAGGCTAACAAAAGGGGACCCGACAGGAGTATGTGGTCCTCCACAAACGAGATCAAACGGAAATAGCCCTAGATTAATGTAGAGGGCCCCTGAGTATCGAGTGTCTCGGTGCCTTACCATATATATGGGCACCAGCAACGGCACAAGGCCCTCCGAGCAAATGGAAAGAGCTGTAGCTGCCATTCGCGCTTGCCTCCAATTTTGTCCTATTTGGAGCCTTTTTACCTCATGTTTTCAAATAATACATTTCACCAAATTAGTTGTCTTTAGTTTGTATGGTGCTTTTGTCTGCTCATTTGCTTCCTTCAAAGATGCGAGCTTACATGTCGCCGCGCATTTCGTCACTGGTTTAAAAAGAGAACATGCTGTGCCTCTCCCGTTGTGCACCTTGTGAAAGAGTACGCATTCGCTCGTGTTCTCATCCATATCTTCTCGGTTGTATTCACCCGGGACGTGGCCTTGCAGGTGTCCTTTAAGCAGGACTTCAACATGGGTATGATTGACGACGGCTCCCCAGCGAGGAGATCCGGGAAGCCGAGCTATGCCAATGTTCTCTGCATCCCGCTGGAGGCGATGTTGCGGGCACTGGAGTGGAAGACGGTGGACTACTTCAGTCTGGACGTCGAGGGGCACGAGTACTCCGTGCTCTCGCAGCTGCCGTTCGAGCGGCTCGATATTAGGGTACGGAGGGCGCCGCTTGCTGTCAGCCGTGAATTTTAAGTTTTTAGGTGTGGTTCGAGTCTTGATTAGATAAACTGATGAGATCAGAGCCCATGCCAAGCAGCCCTCGTTGCGTCATCCCTGATCCCGTCGTCCGATCCAGAAACGGCCGGCCAACGTCGAAATTTTGCAGAGAAGGCTGACCATAACGCGGTGGTCGACACGATCCGTCCTGCTCTCGGACGTCACCTGATCTTTAGCGTGGCCACTATCACCGGCGGGAGGTCATGCCAGTTTCATATAAATAGCCAGCGCTTGAAGCGACTCGAACTCACCCCGCCACGTGTGGGATAGAAGAATCCAAGGACAGGCGCCCTAACTAACTGCTGCCAGGACGGGTGCAGGCAGTGGTAGAAGATTCCCCGGTTTTGATAAGGCATGTGTTTAGTCACCTGGGTTCGATATCGAACATGGTTTATATGCTTTTGAAAAGTAATATCTTAACTTTTTTCCGCACATTGTGTAGCCGTTGGGAGGCAAAATTGATATAACTTCCTGATGGCCCAATCCCCCATGATTTCCGGATAGTTCCACCTTGAGTGCGGTACAAATATGTTGCCCTCTAAAGGAACGGTGAATCGATCCCGCGCTGTGCGGAATCGAACCATGTGCCTTTGCAGATTCAGATGAAGGGTATTTATGACGCGTCTTTTGTGTTGCATCCAACCGATGTCTTGGCATAGCGGACAGTTTCAGGAAATTGGTGCTGCGTTTTTTCCTCGTAGCCCGAGTTAAGCCAAGTAAAAACTCAACAGAAATGATAGAGTCATTACCGCGTCAGTTCTAGAAGACATCGGCTGGCTCTAGTTCAGGAAAGCCGACTTTGCAACTGACAGACGGTCTTCTGCTCGGGGTGCATCCAGGTGCGACGAAGAGGAAAAGAGCGCGTTGAGACGCACCGGTCTTTGCACATATGTTGTACTTAAAAATATAGTTGAGATAATCCAGAAATGCAACTACCGGAAGGCATTTGCATGTCCTGATATGAATTAATCACTGCTTTATGAAATATCTACCACATCTATCGCGCATTTCTACTTTCGACCATAGTATTGTGTTTACGGTGTACATGGGAAGAGAACAGCACGATGTAGCAGCTGAACTGATGTGTTGGAAACGTGGTGCTGTTAGCTACGCCGTCACCCTTCGCGGAGGCAGACATGTGCCTGAGATCGTGCTGGGTGCTGTAGCGGACGGGGATGTTGAGAAGCAGCCGAGAATGCCGCTGGTGTACCGCCGCGGCAGGCCCTCTGGGCGTCGTGTGTCACCACTCGATGGTGTTAAGTGTTGCCGCGGAGTCCGGCCAGGCTGTCTGCTGCCTCTTGCGAGTGTTCGCTGCCTCGACAGCGTGGTCGGGGCTCCCGTCGGTGACGTCACCCGGGTTTCCACAGACGCTCTCTGTAGAATTTCGCCACGTTCCGGAGGGCAAGGAGGCCATCAGGACACTCATGGAGTCGAAGGGATACGAGGTGAACTCCGAGATCACCCACTTCGACGACCTGGCCAATGACTTCATCTTCCAGAAGAAGGAACTGAAGTAGTAGTCAACTATCCCACCACTAGTCTCCAAGACACATGATGCGTCAACTTCAGGCGTTAAGCGGGTCCCGTGCCGTGATATATGAACCGAAGGGAATGGCCGGCCGAAGGGAGTGGGGTTCCATCCTGATCACGAATCTGCGGGACACGCGACGCGTCAGTTCAAAGTATCACGCGGATTCCGTGCTGTGATATATGATGTGCAGGGATTGATCGGCCGAATTTGTGGGATGAAATCGATTCGTTGTCTAGAAGTGCTAAGCTAGTACGTTGGCATCTAATCTCCGTGCTCGAACGACCCAACTGATTCCGCTTCCATTGCAAAGGGAGAGGGAAGCAGGATAGCAGGATGGGTCGTTTTTAACTTCTTTCGTTTTACTGAGTGCTAGATACGGTGGATGTTCAAGGTTGTTGCCCGGGTGGTGTTTGCTTTGAACTTATGTCAGTCATTCCCATTTGACGCACATCAGTGCGTCATTAACTGTCCTCCTCCAACCTGTATCTCTTACCTAGTCGTCAGTTATCGGGACTAAGCCTGAGACTTGGAAAGGCAGGGCGTCCGCCTGGTGGCGGTCGTCCCGGCCGTGCCGTGTTCAACGGCGGCGTGCGGCTGCCTGCGCGCGCTCGCCGCCGCTCCTGCCATCTGTGCCACTGTGTGCCATCCGGCGCCGCGGGGGCCCCGCGCCGGGCGCCGACAGCTGTGAGCGTGCGGCCACCTCACTGCCAGGCCCGGCAGCGACGCCGCCGCCGCAAGCCTGCCGGTCTGGCCAGACTCCAGACCGTCCGTTTGACTATAGAGGCGTATATAATATAAACGCATCTATATATGTGACAACAGATCTGCGTCCGTGCAATGTAGATGCGTATATTACCTATGTAAAGACTGATGGAATACAGGTGCGTCCCTTTGCAACTTTTTTATTGGGTTGCACGGCTTCAGGTAGCTATGACGGCCAAACCACATAGCGCCCGCGCTGATCCGTAGCGTGGCGAATTGGTCACAGGTCCAGGCCAAAGGTCACAGGTCACAGGCCCTTCACTCTCGCTTGGTCTGCACGTCGACGCGCGCTGACACAACCGGCACCGCATGCATGCGAAACTTAGCTATCGTTCAAGTGCCCTGCATTTAGTCGTTCGTCAGGTACCGCACAACGTCTTGCTGTGCTCTGCATGCACGTTTCTCCAACGAATTCCAGTCTACACGGCATCGCTCTCTGATCAAGGTTTTCGGGGGCAAATCCCTGACAAATGAGCCGGGAGCTGTGAAGCGACGTGACCATAACGCCATCAGGTGAGGTATTCCCGAGCAAAACAATGATACTAACGCGCTCACAAGATTCACTCGCTACTCGCCAGCTGTTCGGGCCTACGGAGCGGCGACTCGGCGCCGGTGTCCGGAGCGGTGACCCGCTTGCCAGTCCTGTCACGAGCGGTCGGCCCCGGCGCAGCTGCGAGGCCCGGCGGGGCCGGCGGGGTCCGGCGCCGGCGGCCCGTCCTCCCGGTACGGCGCGTTGTCCCACATGTAGGTGTCCTTGCTGATCCGCAGCGCTGTTCATGAAAGGCGGACACATTTGGTGACTGGAGACACCGCCAGTCCGTGCGGTCGCCCGCAGCCGGGCGGCGGGATCAGGGCTCGACATCCACACGGCGGGATCAGGGCTCGACATCTACACGGCGGGATCAAGGCTGGACATCCGCGCGGCCCGACTGGGGAGTGAGCTGAAGTGGTGACGACGGCCGCACCCGATAGCACGCCGGCCCCGAGTGACCATCACTGACACTTAACAGGTCAGCCGAGTCTTATTCTGGCGACATATTGTTTATATTGAACGCCCTTCTCCCCACACACGCACTTAGTAATTTCCGAAGCAATTAAAATAGCGATGAGACTGTGAGCAAAGCCAATTGGGCAATTTTATTTCAACCCACTTAATGGCATGTTGCCGCTTTTGAGACCAAACGGAATGCTTCATTCGCAAGCATCACATATGATGAAACAATCTACGTAAGAAGTGTTGTTTTACTTTTCAGTTGAAAAGACTGCTCAAGACAACACTATTCAATGTTCAGTAAATATGCTGCTCAATGCCTCATGGTTTGATTACGCCACCGTACCTTGCTCAACATTGGCTGAGAACCAGATGACGGCCGTTACATCTGGAGATCGCGCTCACGAACGCCACGTATGGACGCATCGACAATGTTATTTTCTTGGCCATGGTCGCCGCATGGCTAATGGCATGGCAGGATTTGAATGACTTTATGACGCCATGAATGCAATGGCGCTTTTGGAATACTCTCCCGGATATACTTTTCCCCATTTTCGCTGGCACATAACTCAGTCTAGAGCGGCTTAGATCTTAAGAAGGGCAGGATTGTGAACGGCACCGAAAGGCTTTCAAGACAGCTATCTCAATTCAAAACCCCCTATAAATGTGGAACGCTCCCTTTAGGAAAACCCAAAACCATCAAGCAAAGTAGGGTGGCAATGGCTCTATTATTTGCCTTTTTCAACAGTGTCGGAAATATAACCAGTTTGCAGATGGACAAGATGCGTCACAGCTCAGCCCATGCCGCCTGCACGTAACACGGGGCGCCATCCACACCGCGCGGCGCGCCAACGCCGGCACTTCCGTGGTGTTCTACCACTGGAATGTCCTGATCAATGACGGGGCGTTAGCGAGGCGGTGCAGCGCTACGACTCCGTGCAGTCCTAGCTAATGGTGTGATCCCTCTTACGGGTCCTAAGCAAGACAAGACCTATGCTAATTGTGTTCAGGTCGGAGAAGAGGCTTGTATGCCCGATGATGATATCACTACAAACGGTGCGAACTTCGGCGCGCCCGTGAATCATCGTAAGATATTTTCGTAACTAGCGTTTGCCAAAGTTTTAACCTATGGTTGTGTTGATTATTTACGTTTATGGAAGGCAGCCTGTCGTCGGCCGCGGGAAGATGAGCAGCAGTGGACTATCGTCGGCCACGGGAAGATGAGCAGCAGTGGACTATCGTCGACCGCGGGAAGATGGGCAGCAGTGGACTTTTATCACGTCTCGGGACATGAAAAATATTTGATGGCTTGTCGCAAGGGTTGGGCCCACCGACAATGTACTTTTGAATGACGCACTTAATACAAGCAATGCTGCCTTTTCTCCCGATTTGGCCCCTTTATCTGTGCCGATGTCCGCCCTTCAACTGTTGCGACGTATTGGCTTCGAGGTGAGCCGAACAGCGGTTAGCGAGACTTAAGGTGTTGCCCACTTGGTGGGTGGCAAAAACCCACCCGCAAATAAGCTACAAAAAAAAAATACTGAATAGGCTCACTGTATCTCCCCGGCTCCGTTTCCGTGGCTTGCATTACCGTCTTCTTTAAGACGTCTTCGCATTCCTTGGAAAACTGAATGAGCTGAGAAAAAAAACGCTAGCATAAGTGCACTGTTCGTTGATTATTCTTTTCCACTCTAAAACGCAGACGCATAAACATTCATACCCCACCGCTCATGCAAAAGCCGACATTGAAGGTACATAGAGGCACGTTTACGGCATTATTCGTGTATTGTCATGCATTTGTCCAATGGAACTTGCTCAAAACGCCGCGTCACGGAGCTGACTGTTTCGGGGCCTGGCTGAAGTCCACTTGACGTGCCCACTGTTACTGCTGGAATCGTTTCATGCTAGCAATAGCAAAATATTGTACAAAGGATATTTTATTTTCACCGGTACCACACAATATGCTGAATTAAAGTAAGACAACCCACCTCTTTAATCGCCGTTTCATTTGTCAAACTCTTGTTCTTCTTGTATTCGCCATTTATTTTGGACCGGGCGGCTGCAAAGCAAGTATGTTTTATCAAGGCATGTGGTCAGTGCCAGAGGTGCCGATATTTGTAAATTATTGGGGGGCCGACCCGAAGGCCCCACAACCCTCCCCCATGTTTTCGCCAGATTTAGCCCACTATGTTGGTGAAAGACAATATGTTTTTAATTTGTGTATTATTTACAAGTCTTCAACTTAAGCAGCATAGTAGTCATGCATGGATAGATCTAGGGAGAAGCCAGCGGACGTACGCGTCTCCTATGGTCGGTAGGTGAAGGCGCCCTTTTAGAGGCCACCTTAGGGCGCCGATGGCGCTCTTCTGTGGCGGTCATGGGACGCGACACGCATTCTGGTTGTGGGAGACGGGGATCTCCGTTCCGTCCCCACAAGCTCCGACACGGGAGTTGTGCGGGTTATGTGTGTGTGTGCCCCCCCCCCCCCCCGATATTTGGCCGGGCCACCACCGTATTTTGCTCGGCCTTCACAGTGTGGAATCCGGCTCCGGCTACCCCATCAGTTCTTGGACGTAAAGATCATTCAACCTTTTGTAGGGAGTCGCAATTTGGTATTAAAGGACAACACTCACATAACGCATTACCCAACAACTGATGCGAAAGAAATCTGCACAAAGTTGAATTCGGTATGTCGCTAACCTAACTGAATGTTTGTGCGTCATTGGGGCTTTACGACACTTCTGAGACTATTTGGCAATGCCTCTCATCCTTACAAAGGGCGGTCACCGTGGGGAATCAAACCCCACAGTGCGCGGTTAAACGCACAAGCAATAACTTGTACACACTGTCTAACTTGTAATGTTACGTGGGTCACATGTGATGACGCAAATATTAAATGCTGGTGGTGATAATAGAAGGCTGGGAGGCTGTTAAAATTTGCAGACTTCTGATGCAATACGCTTTCTTTAAGTGAAACGTACGGCTCATTTTATGGAATATGAGTAACTAAGTAATGATTTGTGTCGTTAACACGGTAACATTCAGACCTTGTGCTACGCGTTTTGAGTGTCTCGAAGGAGCACGCACATTTCTAACATTCTGGTTGAGTGATGTCACACGAACGATACATAGCCAGATGAGTCCTAGATATTAAAAACAAGAATAGTAAACGGGGCAGTGGTAATAGCCTTATTCCCCGTAGAAAAAAACCCAGAAGGATTGAGACATACATGCATTTCTTTCCACGATGAATGAGGATATTACCACTGATATATATGTGCACAATGTTCCTAGCGAATGCGCTTCACAACTTACAAGAATATTGGGTACATTGCGTACCCGGCACGTACAATTGTCTTGCATTCGAACCACAAGATAGTTGTATACCAGAGTAGCAGCTTGCAAAAGAACCCTATCTTGTAATACGTAGTATATACAATACGTTATGTGTAATACGTGCGTATGTCGTACACCATTGCCTATGCATTTTCACATCGTTTTAGCATGCACAAAAACACGGACTCATGACGCGATGACGACGCGATAGCTGCATCCTCACTTCTCATGTCTCCTGTCATTGGCAAGAAGGTTCTGACCAACGCAAGAGGCCTGTCGATGTTCAAGGCACCGCTCCTGTCCCTGTTCGACAAATGTGCCCACAGCCGACTTTGGGCTTATTGCCGACACGGGGCCCTTTGTTGGGCACTGTGAGCCCCTGTTCAGCACAAAGGCCAGACCAATGCACGATCTTTTGAATTAACATTTGCAGGCATCTTTCCCAAGCCCTGCCCCGGCTTGGGAAAGAGGCCCCAGGACCAAAACCGGCGCCAGACGGAGTCTTCGGTGTTGCCGACTGGCGGAAGTCCTTTCATTCTACCAGCCTGCTCTTTGGACCCTTCGATCGGACCCTGGATCGTCGCTCCCTCGGGGCCCAAAGGGCTCCTCGGGACCCTCGGTATCTAAAGACCTAAGGTAAGTAACGTCCCTGTCCCACCGATAGTGGCGTCATTCGTTCCCCGTAAAAATAATAGATGGGGTAATTTGTGTGCCCTGTGGAGTTTGACGCCACTTGAAGCCAAAGCGCTTGGAGGCCTACGAGGTGCCTCCCTAGAGTAGATGTCTTTTCAAAATACGGGTCGTGATTCCCGAAAGGAACGCATCAGGCATCTCCTCGACAAGTAGTCCGATTTTGGATTTCGTCATGGTGGAAGGTACAGAAGTTGTGTAGCCCCTAATTTTTGGCATCTTGAAAATAAAAATGTTGAGGCGATTAAAATCACCCGTTGGGATTTGGTGCAAGCTTAAAAGGCAGGTTGCAATGCCCCAAAATAAAAGTTTTGGTGACCTGTCGCCAAATGGGCCGATCCCTGATGCTCCCCATGGGGAGGTACGAACATTGTGGTGCTCCCAAACTTTGTTGTTTCTTGAAAGCAAACTTGTTACGGAAGGGGTCGATCCAGAATTTGGTCCGCATACAAAGCAAGGAATCGCGGTGTCCATTAAAATGAAGGTTTCGGGATTCTTTCAATGGCTCACCTGGACTTGTTCTCCTAAAGTAAATGCTTTTTTGGTGCTGGGAAATCAAGGTTTTGATGTTCCTCCGCCACCTGGGCCATTCATAATTTTTTTTCTATGAAGCACCACAGTTATCGCGATTCCCCTGAAATCCGTTGTGTTAAAAATAAATGTTTTGGGAACATTTGAAGAGCCTCTGGAATTGGGCTCCCCTGGAAAATAAGCCATGACTACTCAAAATGAAACAAAAATGTTGGCGCCACATTGCCAACCTTCAAAGACCGGACCGATTAGGAGTTTCGTGACGGTGAAACACACATAAATCCGTCTTGAAAAAGGCCATGGTGCTTCAAAATAAAGGTACTGGTGCACCTTGCTTAAAGAACTCTTCAATGATTTCGTTCTGGGGGGGGGGGGGGGGGAAGGGGAAGAGGCCCAACATTGTTGTGCCTATTGAGAATGAAGGTTTGCGCCCCTTCGTGGTGCCCTCTGGCATTGGGCGTTTCTTCAAAGGCTGGGGTGCCGGAAATAATGTTTTCGTGCTTCTTTGCCGAATGGGCTGACCCAGAATTTTATCAAAACGAACAAGGCATCTATATAGTAACGCCCCTGGAATTTGGTGTCTTCCGAAAATGAGAATTTGGGACCCTTGCGGTGTCTCAGAAATTTGGTGCCTCTTGGAAACAAATGCTCTATGGTTTCGAAATTAGGTTTTGGTGTGGCCCAAAGGGATGGCTCATGAGTGGCCCAAGGGGCGAGCGGCACGGCTCCATGCCTTCTCCCAACCACCCTCGGGATACACCCCTGTCTGCTTTGTTCTTTATAAACAGAATGATACCATTCAATTTAGACAATTCTGGATCATTGCTATCATGTTATTCAATGAAGTATCTTCTTTAGACCCAGCTGATGGTACTTTCGGGAGGAACCCAACAGCCAATTAAAATTGCTGCCTTCCTGCGGCCTCCCGGAGCGGTCGCGAGACGGCACAATTTGTGGGCACGTGCAGTGTCCACTATGATGATGACGATGATCGGGGTTTAGGGCGCGCCGACTTCTGGGGTCATTTTGCGTCCCATAACAGCTAAGTGGCTGGTTCTTCTCCCGCAAATGATCCGTCTTTGAACCAACACAGGATGCAAAATCGGTAACCTTAAAACTTCAGAAGCTGTGAGACGTCCATGAAGGAACATTGCTATCATACAAACGTCCACCTGCTGTCCCATGCTCATTCTCGAGAGATGAGCTCTTGGGGATGAGCGCAGCTCGTAATATTGAGTACCGTCAATATGCTCGTTGCTAATAAGCACCGCAACGCCGTATAACCTGTACCTCCTGATATATCAAAGGTCGTTGACTCAGCGCAAGAACCTCAAACGGATAATACCGAAAAACCAGGAGCTGAAGGACTTTCTCATATTACATCCAAGTTATGACCGCAGAAGTTGAAGTACTTCTTTATGTTACATCCAAATTATGACCGCAGAGTTAAGTGGGTACGATTCGTGGAGAACAGTGCCTCGAAAATAGGATGGGCAAGGTTCATGGGTTTGGGCCTCAATAAAAAATGCAAAGTTCCACCCCCGTTCATCGTTACATCAGACGCGTACGACTTGATCAGCAGTACCAACTTTCTTGGAACCGTTCTGAAAAGCTCAGAATTTCCATTTGAGGCAGCCGCCCATGTGAGAGAAGTCTCATTTGATTGCCTGCTCACCACCATGAAAAGAGCACATTGCATTTGCCGTGCTTTTTCCGACGCGTGAATCCTGCAATATTTGCAGCGCCCTAATATTCTAAAACATTTGTGTGATAAATGCTACAAAACCTGGAAACCCTGTTAAGACAAAAAAGGGGGAACAAAAAGCCCGGGAAGCCATTATCCTGCGAACTCAACGAAACGTTACACCATGCCTTTGATTTCTCCCCTTTGACGTTTCTGTAAATGTAAAAAGATAATATTCCAACTAGCGTACAACAGAAGATTTCAGGACAATATCCCTTTTTCAGCCTTGGTCAGACAAAGACACTGTCGAAAACAACTTTAGGCACGCACTAAGAAAAACATAAAAAGCCACATGCAACATACCTATCCAACATACCATAACAACATACCAATCCCTCTGAGGTAACGAAAGAAAAATGACCGTTTTTCCATTATAGCCGCAGATGAACACTGCACAATACTGACAAACAAGAGATGCAATGCATTCACAATTTCGCTTCGATTAAAAAACATTACTTCTGAATGTTGCCGTGCCACATGATAACTAGCTGGCACTGCGCATACATCTTAAACATGCACGTAGTTTTTCCAATCAGAATCGATTTCATAGCTACGCATAAAGCATATCGCAACACTAAGAGCATGATGACGCACACGTGTACAAATGTCCTGATCTGAAGCCCGCTATGGCAACACGTATTATACATTGTCCAAGCCGACCGCTCTTTTCAGTCTTCTCATTTCGAAGTTCGATATCCACTCGCTATTGGAATCCCGGTTTTGTATTCAGAAGTTTGTGACTGCGCACTATGGAACTGAAAATGCCCTCCTTAATCTTTCTTTTTCTTCAGTTTATTTCATGATCTAAAATTCCCCCCTCCTCCCACGCGATGCAACGCCCTTTGTCCAGAAATGTTTCACTAAGCCTGAATAATTTATATCGATTACATCGGTATACCACCGAAAGCGTGGGTCTCAGCACAGCATCTTACAGTGGTCCAATGAAAAGGACCCAAGAGTGTGGAATCCCCGTAATGTATCTGGTTCCAGCATAAATCCTATAGCTGTTGTCGAATAAAAAATGAGACCATCCTTGTGCTTGTAGCGTTCGATTAAAAATAGATAGATTTCAGACTCGGTCCGTGCTCGGCATCAATCTCGACAAAGCCCGTGCTGTCCTAATAAAATGATTTTTGTCGATATTGATACCGAGGAGGGACCATGCAGGAATTGTATAATTCGCCTGTTCTTGTTCTTCAGATGAAAGACAATGAGCATAAGGTTAATTTGATTTTCAATAATACTAACTTGTGCCATGCTCTGAAGCGCGTTTCACACCATGCAATCCATCGTTTCCGGTGACACTCAGCTACTCTTACGAATGTGAACACTGGGGCGCGAGTGCATTCGTCAGTGGGCGTGAATATTCTCGCTGGAATAATGCAAGTAATTTGACACAAGTCCACTTCGTCTAGCGCTCAGGGAAACTCATGCAACAACGTGCTCACCATTCAATGCGGCTTCGTCCCCGGCGAATACCGTAGCCTTTACACGGTGGATCCTTTTAAATGCAGAAATCACCTGCAATGAAAATAAGATTTTTTCGCACATGTTTCGGCTCATCACGAACATTTGGCCACTGATTCGTGCGACCAAAAGGAGAGCACTGCAAACACTCGGGACAAGGCATCACGCGAACTGAGTGAAGAACATGGATCGACGAGATCGTTCGTCGACGTTCACCAAAACATAAAGTCCAAACACATGAGCTGCGATGGAGCGTCGGCGGCTTCGTTCAGGAAAGTGTAGCTGCTGTCACACATTAACGTATGATCGAGGGCCAGCTGTAAAAATTTGGAAAAATACCATCACTATCGCTCCACAACGGCGCATGAAAACCGCGTCTCCCTCCTCCTCCTCCTCACAACCGTTTGAGGTTTTCTGCTAAAATACACACATCATTTCGTCAATGGGTTCGGCTACCGTTTGTCACAGACCGGGAAATGGACTGGTTCTCTCATATATATATAACCGCACCTAGTTGTCCTTACACGCGTACATCACTTCGCCACATGGGCCGCGTAAAACGAATATGAATGGAATTTTCAAAGCAGACGGTTAAAATCGAGCTAGGCTTTTGGCAAACAAATGAGTTCAACAAATTTTTGCAGAGTTCAGCCAGTTCGAGTTTTTACAAACGCTACAAGCGCTATATTTTCTTGTGTATGCACCAGTCACTCCCCGGCCAGCCTGCGCTTGGGACATTAGTTCCAAGGGCGATGGATGCGGGTCGGAGACCTACTTCCGAAGAATCTGCTCCGCATTACAACTACGCTCAGAAAGCCAGAAGACTTACTCCCGGGATAGCCACGCTCGGCAGATCTTCTGCTGTGAAGACCTAACCCCGGAAGAATTACTGCTGCGAATACCTAAGCCACGAAGACCTACTCTTGCTCTTCTTTTAACGAGTGAGGATCTTCGGGCGATCTTCGATACTCCGATTCGACTCGGGACAATTCTGCCTGTTGCGGTGGCAGATAAGTTCAGTTGAGTTCACCCAATGTAATTCGGCCCTGCCGTTGCAGATCGGGTACGGCTTCGAAGTAGCCCGACCGTCAGACCGACCTCTCAGCCCTACCACGCGCTGGCCATCCATTGCACCTCGCCGCCCCTCCTCACTTCAATATTCCGGCTCCCATCACCAGTGGGCATCCGCAGGGTAGAATTTCAGTGGTAGGTCTTCTGAGCGTGTGCATTTACAATGATAAGTCTTCCCGTCGTAAGTCTCCCTCCTCACTTCAATATTCCGGCTCCCATCACCAGTGGGCATCCGCAGGGTAGAATTTCAGTGGTAGGTCTTCTGAGCGTGTGCATTTACAATGATAAGTCTTCCCGTCGTAAGTCTTCCTGGTCTTCCGGGCTTTTGGGCTTATCCTGGGAGAGCATTCCCTCATGATTAGAGACACCAGAAGGGTCACAATGAAAAGAACGCTTTTTGAGCCCATCTTGCCCCTCAACAATATGGGAAGTACGTTTGGTTTTTCATGTAGGGAACAAATACTCTGCCATGATTTAGCATCAGTTCAGCATGGAGCTCGTCGGACTTTTGTCCCAAGTCAGACGATCCTTCCTTTACCAGCGAATGAAGGGACCGTTTCATGACCTCATGTGACCTCCTCATGACCAGTGGTGAGAGGTGATGCCTACGCCAGCGGCCAACACATGCGACCTGACGCTGTCAATACATGAGTTAACGGTTACCGACCGGTGCGCTGGTACCTCACCGCCCCTGTTCATGTGTTAACGGCTACCGGGAAGTGCGCTGGTGCCGCACCGTCCCTGTTCATGTGTTAACGGCCACTGACGGGTGCGATGGTACCGCACCGTCCCTGTTCATGTGTGTACGGCTACGGGGGAGTGCGTTAGTGTCGCACCGTCCCTGCTCATGTGTTTACGGCTACCGGGGAGTGCGCTGGTACCGCACCGTCCCTGTTCATGTGTGTACGGCTATGGGGGAGTGCGTTAGTGTCGCACCGTCCCTGTTCATGCGTTTACGGCTACCGGGGAGTGAGCTGGTACCGCACCGTCCCTGCTCATGCGTTAGCGGCTACTGACGGGTGCGCTGGCACCGCACCGTCCATGTTCATGTGTTCACGGCTACCAGGGAGTGCGCTGATGTCGCACCGTCTCTGCTCATGCGTTAATGGCTCCGACGGATGGGGTCGTGCAGCACCGTCTCCGTTCATGCGTAGGCGGCTGCTGATGGGTGCGCTGGTGCCGCACCGTCCCTGCCCATATGCTAATGGTTACCGAGGGACGCGCTGGTGCCGCACCGTCCCTGTTCAGCTGTTTGAGCGTCCGACACCCGGTCAACATGTGGCAGACATGTGGCAGATGTGGGATAGCGTCCCAGAGACTGCGATGTGTTGGATTCGTCTGCGAAGACCACTTGACCATTTGTTGAGAAAGCCAGGCGGCGAAAAAAGGGTAGCAGCGCCTAGACATTAAATGGCCGCCACAAGATCGCGAGTTATCTTGTAATTGAAATAATACTTGTTTGCTGTCTGAGTCAGGATCTTCGCCACGATTTATACTTGGTTAGAGCTGACCTGACCTGACCTGACCCGCACCCAGTGATCGGCCAGCTGTAAGAGGACTCCATCTTTATTATTTCAACCTCGCGCTTGCAGATGTGTATATCAATAGCTTCAAAACCGTGCAACCATGACTTTGGTCCATTCTATGCAAGTACGGTCTGTACACCGAGGTGTGTGTCATTGGGGCTTTACGACGCACTCAGCTGCTGAGGCTATATGGCGTCGTCTGCCCCTCACCCTGACAGGAAGGGCGGGCACCGCAGGGAATCGAACCCCGTACCTCTGGTTTCCCAGACGCGTAACCACTGCACTACCGGCACCCCCCGTACACTGAGCTCAAAAGTTGAGAACCAAACGGGTTTAAGTGTAAAGTATCACCACACTGGAATCGAGAGCTCTTCACCTGCCACGTGACTTGAAATTGCTGGCAGCAAAATGAACTTAACGGTGTAGTCGTTTGTTCTTGGCTTGTTTTTGTCTGCAACTCTTCACAGACTCTTGGAGGGAGACAAAAAAGGTCCGGACATGCGTAAAGTGCCCCGTTTTCATCAATACATCCGGTAAGTGGGTCACCTAACCTGTTTGAGATTTACAGTTCTTACTACTTGTAATTCCAGGTGAAAAGGTTACTTGGATTGTGTGTTAAATTTGCACGTGTGATAACCTGCACTAATATATATATATATATATATATATATATATATATATATATATATATATATATATATATATGTATGTATGTATATGTATACATACAATATGTTATCCATACAAATTGTAATATATGTACACTTATACATGCAATATATCATATATACTAATTTCAACACATATAAATATATGTATGTATGTATATATACAAGTATTGTTAAAGAACTTGGCAGTAAGAACATTTCATAACCTTTTTTCTGTGCCTGCTCTAGTTTTCTGATTATGGCATACCATACCATACTTCCGAAGACCCTGTGAGCTCTGCTCTGGTTGGACGCAAATACGTAGTGAAGTGCAGCGCATCAAATAAGTCCTTGTAAATAATCGCTACTCAAACAGTGCCATCGACCATGAGACCAGCAGCTTTATGCCACGGTATCAGACGAAAACTGACGTCATGAAACGTCAACCAAATGCAATCAAGCCATTCTATCAGAATCAAATGTCTGATAGTTATAAGACAGACGAGCGTATTCTCAAGAAAATGATATATAAAAACGTCCAGCCAGTCAGCCATGACAAGATAACGCTCACCATCCACCACAAAAAACAAAGGTTACCCAACACATCATGACACGTAGCCACACAGCTAACTCTGACCCCTTGAAACGAACAAACGTTGTTTGCCAATTTCGTTGTGACATGGCGACTGCAGGCTCCTAGAGCAATCAAACTACGTTGGTGTCACTACCACCATACTTTCCAAGGTATTGATGCATTTAGCTGGCGGTGCTCCAAAAGAACACGTGCGAAAAGGAAATGGCCGGAACATCACCCAAGACAACCTCACCAGAAACACCGCCATCATAACACTATCATCAAACAGGAGGAAGCTTTATGTTCTGTAGCCTGCTTTGACCAAAAACATCGTCATCCGGATTTCAACAAGCAAACCAACCCCTCAGTCACCCTTCACCTCGTTTATGGGCGACCTATATCATCCATAGACGGTATAATCCTACCATTCTGCACGTGTTTTACCGCTTGCATTCTTATGCTCCTAAAAACATGTCAGCCACCTAATTAAGACAATACAATTTGACGATCAAACTGAACTTGATGAAACCTAGCTGTTGTACCTTACTGGTTATACCTAACTGCAACTATGTAATCATATATACATCACCAGTATGCTGTAAGTATGTACCTTTGAAAATGGAATATGCAATTCTGAAACATTAGTACAGTCAATAGATGCCAAATATCGGTGAGTTACTTGCTGGTCTCAATGATGAACCGACAGCCATAATCAGAGCACTAGAGCAAGCACAGAAAAAGTTACGAAATAAAGCCTTTTTAAACTTGATCCAAACCCTTTGAAAGGATGGATTTTTGGGATCAGCGCTCACGCTAAGCAGTGTTTGTTGTGTGAGCCCTGACCCTCACCATCCGATCGTGCAATTCCAGGCAACGGCAGAATTTAGTGGCGAAAGCTTAACGTGCCGCAATGCTCCGCAGGGTATGTCCTGTCCTCTGACGTCAACTGACCTTCAACGCGACTGCTGCCACCGGCCGCAGGCCATACCTGCTAAGGGCAAATAGCGAGCGCCCTAAAGCGACTCGAACCCAACCTGCCACGCGTGGGTGGATCGGAAGGCAGGCGCTCTAACCAACTGAGCCACTGGGACGGACATATGTCAATGGCAAGGCTCTTAACAGCACTTGTATAAAAGACAATTTGATGCCTACATATACAACCATATGTATTTCTCCTGAGTTAATAATCAAATGGGTAGTTGCTGGGCCACACTCTCACTAAGGACAATTTTGCCTCAAAGAGGGCTTTCAGCTGTTGAATCCTCTCACCTGGGTGCGCAGAGCATGGTTCATGGCTGAGCTTCCCAAGCACCAGATTCAAAGAGCCACCTGAAACAGCACAAATTGAGTTATTTTGAATTTATTTTGACAGCTATGAGCTGAAACAGCTGTTCAACCAAGAAATGGCATATCATAAAATTTGATGAAAGGTTTTTATCTCCCTGCATAGAGTTTTAAAAGGCAGTTTTCATCCTTTGAGGTGCTCTCATGATGGGTGAATAAAAGGCCAGAGTTCAGAAGGATGCAATGTTATTGAATGATCATGATAAAACATATTTAGCATCCTGATTATGCCTGCAGCTATAAGCACGCAGACCTCATCACAATGACACACAAGCACGCACGCACGCACGCACGCACGCACGCACGCACGCACGCACGCACGCACGCACGCACGCACGCACGCACGCACGCACGCACGCACCACACACACACACACACACACACACACACACACACACACACACACACACACACACACACACACACACACACACCTCAATGTTTCTGCATAACAGGCATGGAGAGGAAGCTAAGGTTCTTGACTTGCAGCCAAATCCAAAGCCAGAACCATTGATCTAAAACTGAAGTCCAAGCAAAGCCAGCAGCTTCACATTTTGAAAATGTGATGCTGAAGCCATGATCAACATCTTAGAAAAACAGAAAGTGTGACACAAACTGAACCCTTCAGTTTCAAATCACAGGGACAATGATGGAGCTAAATCTAGTCAATGTTATCTAGTGAAACCATTTTGTGCCTGCTGAGGCTGTAACAAATCACTATATCATCAGTGTTTTACAGAGTGACTGACAAGGTGTTACCAGCAAAGGAAGTATTTCTCACTATGGGTTTTTACCTCATGTTTCAGCATTTGCACAGCATATGGGGCAGCTAGTTCCTCAGCTGTTGTTTAGTATTAATTGGTCTAGAGAATGACTGCTGGTTTCAAGCCCGCAGCCATGCATGTGTTGCAACCTCATAAATATTTGTTGAAAAGTGGCAGAACAAAGACTGCAGTTGTGAAGTGCAACTAGTGATAAAAACCACTATAACAGTCACACACAAGCAGCAGGATTTAATCAAGGACAAATCCATAATTCAAAAACTTGCAAAGTCAAAATCAGGGCCAGCTTCTGAAGATCATGCAAGGCTACAGCTGAAGCCAAAGCCAAACAATTACAGCACATGCCTGGCACAAATCCCACACCAAAACTAAACCCAGCCATGGCAAATGGCTTGAAGCTGAAGCCCAAACTATTGTCAAAAAGAGTGGCTAAACAATGCCAAAAACAAAGCTGACTTTGTCCAGATACCCACTGCATGCTACTGCACACTTGACAGGCACTCTTCTCCCAAATATAATTGTTTCCCAGGCAAGTAAGATCAAGACATGACAGGTCATCACAGCACTTTATCACATGGGACTATAATCTGCCATCACTATTTAGCTAACACAACTGGGTCCACATGATCAAATAACTGCATCAATCTACTTTTAAACTCAATTAGAACGGTTTTTAAGAGAACGGGTCACGATGTGTGAGCATCAAAGTATCAAATAAAGGCAGCGCGCGCAGACGTAGCTAACGAGAAGCTAGGCAGAAAGCAAATGGCGGATCATCACATCTTATATTCTCTCAGCACACTGCCCACCAAGGCCACCTTCAATTCTTCTGATTTTGCTATTGCCCAGGGTACTTACGTTCAATCTTTCTATTGAAATACATCCCGTAAAAAACAGCGCCCATACTAGCACTATTTTGTCGTACATGCGCCAAATATGCAATGCCTTTTTCCTGCCATATCAGAAATCCGCCGCCATATCAGGAAACATCCATCACTCTAAGTTGGGGGAAATGAGAGGTAGCATAGATAAAGAGGGAATTGAAATGCCACGAGCAGCCATGAAAAGGTGACGGACAATGATTGGTCCCCAGTAAACTAACAGCGTTATAGGTGAGCATTTTAAATGAGAGGGGCGACAATGAAATGAGTTGGAAATGGGAAGAAGCACTCAACATACAGATGAGATATATGCTAGTAATACCGGAACAAAATGCACACTTCCAAACACCACCATGTCTGTAGTGTGTCATGGTAACTAGGAAGCCAGAGATACGACACCGTTTCCATAAGTACGTCACAGCAATGTTCTTGTGGAAACAATGTCGTACATTTACAAATTACGACTCAGTATATAGTTCTCAACCGATCAGTGGTTCAAGTTATTCTGTGCATTGTTGAGACTGAGCGTAATGTGCTCAGAAAATGACACACTCATCACACTCCCACAAGTTGCGGTGTTGAATCGGGAGTAGGTAATTGAGGTATGCAACCATGGGTGTAGGAACAGGGGAGGGGGGGCATGGCCCCCCACTTTTGAAGATGTGGACCAACGGTGTTAACTGTCCCCCCACTTTTCAAATTAAGGTTGCGTTTGAGTTACTTATGCAGAGGTGTCAGTTTTAATAGATTATTGAGGGCCGAACCGAAGGCGCGACAACCTACTCCCACTCATTTTTCTCACCGGATTTAGCCCGCTTTGTTTTTACTAAAGCGCTATGTGTTTTTAATCTTCGTATAATTTATAAAAGTCATAAACATAGGCAATATAGAAGTCATGCGGGGTTGGATCCGGGGAGCAAGCATTGGACGCACGCGTCTCTTCTGATCGGCATGTGAAGGCGCCCTTTTAGGACCACGTTAATGCGCCGGTGCGCTCTTTTTTGGCGGTCATGGGAGGCGGCAGGCATTTTGGTTGTGGGGATAGGGAAGGGACTAGCCGTGAAGGACTTGGGTCATCCCCACATTCCAGAGCCTTTCACTTAACCTCACAAACCATTGCGTGTCTCATGTCTCAATAGGTATGGGAAGTTTATTGCATCTTTTATCTGCTCGGCTGTTGCGATTTGTATCTGGTGGTGAGAGCAACCATGACTTTTTGTTATGAAAGTGGTAGGAGACACCACTACGCAGAACAATCAACGAAGATAGTGTTTGTGTTATGATCCTCTTTTACCCACGCTTTTTTCAGCATTCCAGCCGAAAAGGTTGGGGGAGGGGGTGTTAAGCCAACATTGGGGGCGGGGGCAACTCAACATGGGGAGGAGGGCAGGGCCCTCACAAAAGAATAAAAATCGACACCCGTGTACGTTTGCGCCATATTAAAAAACGTGCTGATTTGCAGTCATCCTCCTCAAGATGCGTCATCTTTTTCGTTTGCTCATTGGCCATCGCTTAGTGCCTCAGCCGCAGGCTGACGCAGCGCGGCCTGTGAAGACTGCAAAGCCGGGCGTTTAGGCTGTTGTTGCTATATAGCAACAACAAATAATGACTGCAAGCGCACATGAACAACACCATACGACATAGTTTTTTTACCAGCAATCAGCTCTGACTAAATCTTGAACATTTTAGGATAAACATGGATTAGCCATATTAATACAAATTTGGGACCCCATTTCATCTACAATTTACGTTCAGGGAGTCCTCAATACCTCTGAAAAACACGGAAAACATAGAACTAGAGCAAATGTGACAATTATTGGTCCACATGCAGCGATCAGGGATGTTGTCGTGGCAATGAGGGTCCCTGAGCTGATCCTGGGCCAACTGCCCAGGCCAGAAGGCCTCCCGTGTGATATGATATACCCTCTAATACCCTCCGGATCGACCAGGATATCCGGCCCAGTGTCACCAGAATGACAGTCAGAAGACATTCCGCGATGGAACGGGGCGCCCTTCAGCCCTTGACCGAAACCGGTCATGTGCCCTTGGTGTTCTACTCAAGTGGCCCCTTGCCCAGAAGGAGGTAAGGGGTCTCATCACTCTTGAGTAGAGCGGGGGTCTCATTAATGTTGACTAGAGTGGGTCGAAATAGATTTAGAAAACGAACAATGCCATCCCAGATTTGCCCGAGAACGTTCATTTTGTAGAATGGATCGGTGAAAAAAATTATCAAAACGTTTGAACATGCCCGCCCGTAAAAAAATGTTAGCACACGATGTTCATCACTCGATCTATAATCAAAATTTTCATCTTCAAATTTAGATCAAACATATCAATATACAATCTACCTTCGCGATGTCCGCAACGTCTGTAGGACTCATATAACACATTCTGACAAAGTTTTGGAATTCTATCGGTTTATAAAGCGTCCACTAAGCCACTGTAACTTAAGGGCACCGGTGATTTATTTCATGCAGTCGTTCACGCCTGATTTCTGCAGTTTATTGACTGCAAAATACAAACAGAATTGATCTCACGGTAGCTACTGGTTTTTGGTCTGGTTACAAGGTAAGAAATGACGATGAAACGAAGAAAACCGCATCCCTTGTTAACAAGTATGTTTATCCAGGGTTTTTTCAGGGGGGGGGGGTGTCGCCATAAGAGGAGCTTTTGTCAACCCTGTGTTCTCTTTTACCAAGGCTCCGGCTACGCCCCTGCCTGCACACAAAAGCAAATGAAGTCGTCTACGTTGAATGATGGACAGTTAAATGTATGTTGGGCCCATTCATGCCTAACGGGCAGGCAGCTTCCTAATGCAGGTAGCTTCCCGGAGGCTTTTTGCTGGGGTGGTGTGGTGTAAGGGAAGATAATTCGGAAAAGATGCTGTAGCAGGTGTCCAACATGTGTTTTGCACACCAATTAGTAGAAATGCTAATGCGGAAATATGCCACAAAGCAGCCATACAATCAGTTTGCAGTCAGTCATGCAGAAGACAGGCGAACCACGGCAGTGGCCGCCGACCGTGGACGGGAGCAGGATCTAGGTAAAGAGTATGTGACAGAACAGAGTATATGGCGTTCTGTGGCTTGGTTTTTTAAAGCAGTTTCCAGTTTTATGGCTTTTGTCACATTGCTTTTGGCAGTTTCAAGCTTCCGAATTGGTTTCCGCCTAGTACGCAGCGACAAGCCTTGCCTCTTGAAAAGCAGCCAGGGAAATGAATGCACATGAAAAATCTGTCGCACCGTGAGCATTCGATTCATTTTCAAATTCTCACCAGCCTATGTCCGGGGCGTATTTGGGCATTTACCATGTGGAGGCAGAT